TTGGATAATTGATTTCCTGAAATGTCGTAAACAAAGGGTGAAATTGTCATATAGGCCGTGTGCCGTTGTGCGAAAAAGTGCTTAAAAAAGCAATTTCGTGGAAACCCTCTGCGGAATAGATTTTTTGTGGTCAATTCATAGTACCATAGATGCTCAATTACCACAAAAAGCTCCCAAGCAAAAAACGTGCCAAACACCAAGAAAATTGGTGATCAGTAATTATCCTCTATTACTGCTTAATATAAATTGTATTACAGCAAGATAATCTGAAATGTTGTATTCAATTACAACTAAAATGACTTGCATCATCAGAAAGCTTACAAAAATCTATATATAAGACATTTAAACAATTTTTTATATCTCAAAATGTTATACGCTGTCAAGAACGCGTTTTTGATCTAGTACCCAGTCCTTATTACGACATTTTGGTTCAATTTTCACATTTAAAACAGCAATAACTCAAAGACTATTTGAAGGATCAAAAAACTGTTTTAAAGTTTTATATTCAGTTTTTTGTAAAATTTCTGAAGATAGAAGTCATTTGTGTTGCAATTGAATAAAAAATTTCACATTTTCTTGCTGTAATAGAGGATAATCATTGATCACGCATTTTCTCGGTGTTTAGCAAGTTTTTTCCTGGGGAACTTTTTGTGGTTATCGAGCATCTATGGTATTATGCACTGAACCACAGAAAATCTATTCCCCAGGGGTTGCGACGAAGCGAAATGATTTTGGCCAACTGCCCACTGCCTAATAGGATTGTAAATCGAACAATGTTAGGGCCTTGGTTGTTCGTGTTAACAGGTGACGATACAGACATCACCAGTACAGACTTGTGGAAATGTGTGGACGACACAATAGCCACTGAGATAGTGGAAAAGGAGAGACAAGAATATAGTAAATGAACTAACGGAAAAAACGTATATGAACAAATTCCGGTTTATATAATTAATGAGAAGAAATGCAACGAACTTCAGATGTCTTTAAAAAAAATCGCCACCCTGAATGCACACGTGTTGGTATCAATGATAAACGGTGAAGGCTATTTCAGATACGGTAGAGCACCTAGTCCCCAGGCCTTTATCGGCGCGGCCGCGAAATTCAATATGGCGCCAGGCTAAGGAGGGGAGTTTAATGGAGTTTATATTCTATATTTTCTACTGTTGTTTTTTGACATTGTTCTTCATTTTTTTTGGTACAACTTATATTGCGAAATGTCAGATATTTTACTATTTATCTGAAAAAAAAATTATAACAGAATTTTTCTCAATTTTTTTTCATTTATTTGAGCATCACAATAATAATATATGTCATTCTATTAGCAGTTTTAGAAAGATAAACTGTCAGACGATATTTTGTCATATAAATTTTAAAAAATAAAGTGCTAATAACTGAATAGTGGAAAAATATTTGGCTTGCATTTACAAATTATAATGTCTTATACTCGGTGTGTAGTAAGAGTGTGGGGTGGGGGGGGGGTATAGACTAAATGTACCATCTCACTTACAAACCTTATCAACGTGAGAATGACATGTTGACTTAATGAAAAAAATATTATGATTCTGGCAAAAATACCAACAGAGGAAAATTTATTTAACAACGTACACTGCAACAAATCATGATACAGACAAGCATATCATGTATATGAGGCTTGCTAAGAACATTTTCCCATTCATAAGTGATAAATGAGCACACTGTTGAAAAACTATGTGAGTGTAACAATAAGAATAAGGTTTGTAACAAACAATATTCAAGATCAAACAAGTTATTGTCACATAAAACAACACATATAATAGAGTCAAATCTTATGAATATCATGTCTGTACAGAATTCAGATATTCATGTATTTCAGCAAGACATAAAAGAGCACATGGTGGAAGACAAACTGTATGAATGTCACGTTTGTCATTAACATGCAATTATCATAGGATGTAGTGGACTAACACTAAGCCATCCCTCTAATGTGTTTCTTTAGTTGGGAGAGGAGTTCTGAGGCCCATTCAAGATTACATTACATAATACAACATTAATTTTACTCATTGCATCTAAAAGCTACAGGTGAGCAAAGTATTCCATAGAATGCAAAGTATTTAACTATTTCTGGGTTAAATTAGATTTTAAATTCAGTGATTTAGTGTAAGATATTGTTTTTAAGAAGTTAAAATTGATCACATAATAAATCTATTTTTTGGGTCAAGGATAACATGCAAAAATAGCACTTTCCATTTATTTCACTCCTGGAAATTCACACTCTATTCTAATATTAAAAGTTCAAACATTGATATTTATACTCTAGAGGCATAGGGTGTACTCATTTCCTAGAATCTTAATTATGGATAGGATGAAGTCTTAGTGCTCCCCCGTGAAAGGCCCCCTGATCTACTGTTTGGAGTGCCAACAAGGACAGCTTTCAAAACACTGCATAAATATTAGCCCAGGGACCTTCCTTAACACGGCACACCCCACTGGCACTTGCCGGGCACAGCCCTTAGGAATTATGCCACTGAGGAGTGAACCTCTGATAATTTCTCCAGCCATGCCCAGGTTATAAACATAATGATGATTTAGCTTGCTGCAAGACTTTCTATTTACTTGAGCGTAAAATATGGCAATGCCACACAACACAACACAACACAACACAACACAACACAACACAACACAACACAACACAACAAAAGGTCATCGTCTTGACCCCCCCCCCAATAATTTTCATTTGTATAAGCAAAATATATAAAAGATCTAGAAAAGTCCAAAAGCAATTCAGATTTATTCTTGAGACCCCCCTCCCAATATTGATTTACTTCTAACGAACTTGTAACCTTGTAACATCCTATCCAGATTTTTTTTAATTCTATATGGCCCTGCATACAAGGTTAGTACCCTACTGAATAACTTGCACCACTATAAAGTAAAATATAATGGGCCCTTGTTTGCATCGTTTAAAAGGTAAGCATGAACTATACTATGTGTGTTGTGAGCAAACCGTATTTAGTTCATGAAACAAGACAATTAGGGATGTGGTAAAAAGTACACATTAGGACACATTTGTTGTGAATTTGTTTTTTTGCTATCCTCACAATAATGTTCACCCAGTATGCAATGAAAAGGCAGTGCACAATCTGTGTAGAGTCCATTTTGTATGTTGGCACACAATTTGGCGTTAAAATTGTTTATTGTTGATTATAATCATATCTTTTTGGTAGTGGTAGATTCGATCAGCAAGGTTGTTTTTGGGGCATGCTAGGCAAACAGGTGAGGACTCTGAACCTGGCACCGGGCAGTAGTGCATTTCATCAATTATGCTTCAGGAGTAGATACTTAGGGTACTAACCTCAATTACATACCACATAAAATACCTAAGGTTACTAGATGGACATATATTTGTAATACTAATTATAATTATAAAATATCTCAAATTGTCAGAGGTGTGATAAATTCAATTTTTACCCCCCCCCCCTCCATTTGATTTTTATGTTCCTTGTTGGCCAAGGATGTGCACCTCAGTCAACCTCCCTACCCCCTATAAACCCACCATGACTGCTCTAGTGCTAATTAACTGACAGTGGAATCTTGAACGGTATATCAAGATAACTGCAGATTTCGAGGGATACAACTACCTGAAAAATTCAAGCGGAACTTCAATCAAAAAGTCGATATTAAATTTGTACATTCCGCATGGATGTTCACGCTCTGTGGTTTATTGAATATAAGCAAGGCTATTATTACAATTTTTAAAATTGAAGTTGAAACTATAATTAACAAAAGTTCAGTGTTAAAAAGTATCCTGGCCAATTCTATTTTATACTTTTGGAGCATAATTCAGTGAATTAAATACACTGAAACATACAGATATTAAGATACATTAACTTTAAGTCTTTATAACTATGATAATGTTTGATAAAAATTGTGTTATATAAAAATATTTTGTTTCAGATAAAGAGTTAGATACCTGACATTTCACAAAGAAGAAGAACGTCAAAAAACAACAGTAGAAAATACAGAATATAAACTCCGTTTAACTACACTCTTTAGCTTGGCGCCATATTGAATTTCTCAGTCGCGCCGATAAAGGCCTGGGAACTAGGTGCTCTACCGCATCTTAAATAGCCTTCACCATGATGAACCTATAGAAATTGTAACTACCCTCAAATTGATGGGTCTGGACATTTCCAATAATAGGGACCTTTAGCTAACAGGACGGCGACGGCTATTAATACAATGAAATTTATGACAGTGGAGAAAGAAAATTGATAATTGAAGGTCCCATGGGAGTTTTAGACGTCGTCCTTGTTCTGTTTACAACAGCAAACCAAAGATTTTCTTCCACTCGGTTGTATTTCCTGAGGCAATTAAAACGTGCCATAATTGCCAAAAAGGTACTTCGACATGACTTGTATTCGACCTATTACTGAATACACATGTCCTGTTTTCCACAATGGATTATCCAAGCATTTGCCAGATGAATTAGAACGTATCCAAAAACGCGCAATCCAAATCATATTCCCAAAATTAATTATCAGGACGTACTAAAAAAATGTAACGTATGCCCCTCGTACGAAAGATGAGAATACCTAACAAATAAACTTTTTGAAGAAATATGTTCCGATCCCAACCAACAGAAACAGACGCATGTTTAATTTTCATGGTTGTAAAACAGACATACTAAAAAATAGTTCTATATTCAGCAATTCAAGCAGGAAAACTTTTTAGTCCCAGTTTATTGTACTATATGCTGTAGTTGTTCGACATTACATGTAAAATTAGTTTATCACCATTTTAATCACTTTTAACTTTTGTATCATGTAAATTTATATACAATACAGCCATTTTGTCTGCAATATGATATATCTAATATAATAAACTGATATATTTGTGACAATTCTTTTTTCAGATATTCTGCGATTGAAGAAAAATGTCATATTTGAAACAAACGTCCTGGGTTGGTTAGATTGTGGAACAAGTTGCTTGGAAAACGGGCCTGTGTTGCGTTCAATTTCAAGGAAGAGTCAAAAGAAAACGAAATCAACTGTCAGTTAACCCAAACCGCAGATCATAATTTTGAAAGAGGAAGCACAGATGACAATGGCTGGACATTTTATGAGGCAGTTGGAGAAAGAATGGTTAGAATATTTAAGTCTTCATTTTCGTAATAAAAGGAATCGTTCTCTGATCAAAAATAATTTATTTTAACGAGCTTTCGGCCACTAGACTGTTGTTTTCTTCAGGTACAAGTTCGTGCAGGATATCGTCATTATAATCCGTTAGATAAAAAAAATCTTAAATTAAGTATATGTAGCATGTTTGATGGGTAGAACCGCTGAACATAATACATTCCGCCAAAAACTTGATTATCAAATATGGCGATTTAGAACAGGCTTAATTTAGAGCACAACGGGCGTAATTTCAGGGACCAGGGAGTAGGGAGGGGGCCCCCAATAATTTTCCATACATGTTAGATTTTTATAAGCTAAGAACACTGAAATCATTCAGATCAGTCAACAATATATTTATAACTTACATAGCCAAGTATATTAGATTAAATGTCGTCTATTAAGAAACTTTTTAACAGCAACTAGTAAATTTAATTGCATTCCAGGGCCTATGGAATGTCTCAAAACTTCCCAGGAGAGCATGCCCCCGGACCCTAACAAACTCACGCTTTATCCAAAAATGCCCCCTTAAGCCAAAAATGGCTCCGCGATCCCTGAATTTAGTTGACCTCCATCGGAAATTTTACAAGCTTCCATGGCTAGCATGTGGTCGGTACAAGCTCGTTCGTTAGTCTGTTGAAATGACCTCCCTCCCCTTGAAGAATTTCCTGAGGACGGCCCTGAATGCACAATGAAAGAAACTGCTGAAATTCTTGAATTTCACTTCAAGCGAGATAACAGCATTTGCTTCCATGTTGTAACAGACCTCCAACCTCTGATATAACTTCGCGGCTCACGCTGTAAATATTACTTATTTTAGTTCGGATGTGATGAATGTCTGAACGGCGAAAAGTTGATCTGGGATCCGGTGAAACCACTTGGATGTAAATGTCCAGAAAGTAATTATGCCGGGCAAATTAGTGAACAGTGTAAGTATTAATATACTAGAAATACATGCATGCAGAAACCCTTCGCTTGCAAAACCATTAGTATATTTTCCGAACATGAAGAATTTAAAGTCGTTGACTTTCGCACGAAAAAACGATAACTTTATTTAAGAACATTTTTAAAATTCAAATATCTCCTAAAATATCACTTTTAATTACAAAATTATTAATTTCCCAAAACTATATATGTTGGGTATTTTATTGTACGTTATTATGTGTACTATAAGCTTCAATTTAAGGTAAAATTCAACCACAAACGCTTCGCAAAACGTTTTAGAATGTTCTTAAAACCAAACTACCTTTTATCGATAAACTTTGAGTTTCAAATAAAATGAAAACAATACATCAATATTTCAAACAAACTTACCTTCATTGGCATGGGTTTTACAATTTCCAGTAATTTATTGACTCATTCTTATAAACAAATAAATTTTTCGACTGCACGTCTCATTAGCGATATTTCGGGTTTCAGAATAACGTTTTTCAGTCTCTGGTAGCAAACGTCGGTGTTCTTGCTAGCTTCTTTAAGCAAGTCTTCGGGCTTTTTCTAAGCAAGTCTTCCGGATGGTTTCCGCCTGGCTATTTCTTTAATATTTTATTTGGTTAATTTTTTAATTTTCTTAAAAAACCCGTATAAAAAAACTCAAAACTTTGCAAAATTTTTAAAAAGCAGATATATAATAATTATTTAACTTTCATATAGTGGCCGTTATTATGCTGTCGTGATCATGAAGCGAAATTTAAATTTGACCAATCAGTATTTTCATGACAGTCCGACGTATTTTTTAGATCAGTGAAGAGGTCCACCCTTGGATCATAGCCATGCGCCTAGGATATTTGATGAACTATAGACGAACTATAGACTTACTTATCCTGGGCTTACGCCCAGAACGGCGCTCCGCCGGGGCTCCACCGCAATCAGGATGTCAGGATCAAGTTCTATGTTTATTTTATTAAGTATTGTTTTTTAAAGAACTCGATTAATGGGCATATGATGTTACCTAGGGAAGGTATTAATATTGTAAAAGCTAAATTGTGACGATATTTGCCGCAAAGTGAGTCATGAACCTGAAACTCTAAAAGCTGATGTTCTAACCATTTAAATCGCATATACGCAAGGAACAGTTTGGAATTTAAAATTACAATATTTCTATCCCGTTGCTTTTTTTGCCGCACTCCTGATTATTCTGGGAGCAAATGATGAAGAAGATGCTTGCTGATGACATTCGACTGTTATCTTCTTGCATTGGTAATCTCCGTTTGCTTGTCTAGGTCCTTTGGCATTAGATTTTTTTGGTGATACCGTAAACCAATATGGCATATCCACTGGATCTCCACAGGAATTGGAGTCTATCACTGCATGTTTTTGGATGTCCGTTCCTGAAGCGTATGTAAAGGATCGTCGTGTCAATTTCATATCTTATGCTTCGTCTAATTCGCCAAACGATTTTCTGTTAGTATTACGACCAAGCCTGGACTTGCTGATGAAAAATACAGTCTACAGGTATATATCCTTGAATCATTGTTTTCTTCTTAAATTTGTCTGTGATTAAATAATGAGATCACACCACTATTGGGGCATCTATGAAAAGAACCCCAGCGATGTTAGCTAATGCGGCCAAAAAGTGAAAATTTGGCAATAGTTTCTTCTTTTTTATTCATTTATTATTATTATTATTTATTGATTTGTATAAATATTAAATAACAATGGTATAATGGGCTAGGGACCTTTAGAAATGCAATTGGACTTTTACTGCCAGGGCCATACTTTAGCATTCAAGTGATAAAAGACTATGAAAGAAAAACTACAACAAATTGAATAATGAAAAAGTACTAAGATATAAAATAGTACATTATTATTATGAATGTTCCTAAGGTTAATGCTAAGATTTTTGTTCACATGCATTAATTAGATGATAAGTAATGGGATTTTGCTTTTCTCTTAAAAGAAAATTATGTTTTAACATTTTTAATTTCGTCGTCAAGAAAATTCAATCAATTATAAATCCCTGTGTTAAAAATAGTATATTTACGGTAGTTTGTTCTTGAAGTAATCATTATAAAAGTCCAAAAATTTTTGGCAATATTTGCCATTACCATCGACCAAACATTCACTTCATAATATTCAGATGCTCATTAATATTCGCTAGTAAAAGTGATCAACGTTGATTAACGCTATGCAGTTATCTGAGGTCTACACCACTATAACCGAATCTGGAATTAAATCAAATTTCCACATGAGTGAAGGATTTAAATACAGTGGCGTACCCAATCCCACGATTTGGTCCGGCTATACAAATTTTAACTCATTATTATTATTCATTTCTTTAGAAATTGATTCTGTTGATTGTTTATAAACATGGCAATATTTGCATAGTAGGACTGAATCACCAGGCTGGCCACACCCCTGTTTAAATATGGCAATTGTAAATAGTATTTTAATGATAGTTGATATCAATGAATTGCTGCATTACTGCAAACATAATAGATCAGGCGTTGTATCTAATTGGCGAGCGAAAATTCTCCATACTCAATGCGATCCTGGAACAAATAAAACGGCGCTAATTTCCTAGTTTTATCCCCCCCCTTCTCTCGCATGTTAACCCCTATGTTTATTTACGTATGTAAGCGCTTTCATCTGTGTGTTTACTGTCGATGCAATAGAAGTGTTGATAAAATATTGTATCAATTCATTTCCTGAAGTTGATCAATTCATTTAACAGAAAATTTATCAACTTCCTGTTACTTCTAGATGAGCCAATTAGATTTCGTTTCAGAACCGACTGACCAATAGGAAACGCACCGGAAGTAAAAAGAAATTTGAATTCGTATGAATTGATCAACTTGAGGAAATGAATTGATGCAATATTTTATCAACACTTCTATTGCAGCGACAGTAAATAAAACAAAACGTGTATTCCTTGCAGCGCTCTTTTTGTTTTTAATAGCACTAACGTGCACCTTGCTGACGGAAAACTTCATCACGTGTGTGTCACATGGAAGTCATTAGGCGGCCAATTTAAAGTGTACAAAGATGGTGCTTTGGTCAAGACAATGGATAACATCAAGAGTGGCGAAAAATTTAATGCAGGTGGGATATGGGTGATTGGTCAAGACCAGGATTCCTTAGGAGATGGTTTCCAAACCGGAGATTCCTACAAGGGCATCTTGACCGAAGTCAATATTTGGAATGAAATTCTTCATTTCGATGTGATCAAACATTTTGCAAACGACTATGGTTTGCCGGTGCGAGGAAACTACAAGGCTTACAGCGATTTTGTTATCTCCAGTGCAACTGAATTGATTAAACCGTCATGCTGTCCCTTGGCACCACTTCCTGAAGCATGATATTTTCTCTGAAGCATGATATTTTTTCTGAATCATGATATTTGTTAGATTGCACTATTTCTTTCATTATAAACACTTGTTTGAAACTGTAAAAAGATTTCTTACCACGAAATCATGTCAATTTGTTGCTTAATAAATAATTTGAAACTGCTTTGCTTTAAATGCTTTTCTTTCTTTTATTTATAATTAAAATTTTCAATCTACATCAATACATCCTGTCTGATTTCAAAACTAAAACAGAGACGACCAACCTTTTTAATTCAAGGAATTCATTTTGAAATTCATTAGAATATTAATGTGATGAAATCATTAGCATGTAAACATATTTTTAAATCTCTCGCATTTCTTGTGAACGAAATCGCTACGTATTAAACTTAGCTGTACCATGAACCAAAGTCTTTTTGTACCTATAGAATAAAAGATATACAGGGTGTCAAAAAAACGCTATGGAAATTCAACAGGCTGTTGTGCATCATAAACTTAACCAAACAATTCAATTTTTACATAGGACGAAATAACTATTATTTAGCTTTTCTATGATAGAAAAGAGTGATGAGAAATGGCCACATACTCGTCAAATAAAAATTGCCGGTCGAAATCACATTCTTCCACCGTTGGGAATTAAAAATACATTAATTATGCAAAGTTAATCAATCCAAAAGGATCGCGAGTCTGCTGCAAGGTACTTGTTTCGTAAAACGTTTTGATTATGAATGTTCTCTGTTCAGGGGGTAATTGAACCATGTTTTATGAAATAATGGACGTTCTTATGGTCTCACTAAGGCGAATATTGACGAGTTGAGCTTATTGTACATAATTTAACATTCAATTTTAATTCCCCCTTGGGAATTGTTTATGTTTCGTTTTCCATGCAATTCCCAACGGTGGAAGAATGTGATTTCGACTGGCAATTTTTATTTGACGAGTATGTGGCCATTTTTCATCGTTACGATTTAAAAAGAGTATCATTGAAAAGCCAAATAACTGTTCTTTAGTCCTGTGTAAAAATTAAATTTTTAGCCACGTTTATGATGCACGACAGCCTATCGAATTTCCATAGCGTTTTTTTAGACACCCTGTAGAGGTTCACACGTATTCTAATGAGTTTCAGAACGTGAGTACTTAGTGTGAGTTTCATAACGTGAGACTTTAGTCGCCCATATTCGTGTGACTTTGTTAAATATGTAGTGTAAAAATTGGGAAGGAAAAAACTTTTTTATTTCTAAACAGCAAAACATTATTTTCTTATTTTTGAGAAAAAAACTTATTTTGAGAAAATATTCCTTGGGAGAGTAATTAGAAAAAAATTCTTACCAGGCAACTACAAGTTTTTCTTACTCTCCCATGCAAGAAAAAAATTGTTTAGAAAATCAGATAAGAAATATTTCTTACATTATCCAAAATAATTTAACACTAATTTCAATTTTCTTACGATAAAAACTGCATTTTGATAATTTTTTTGAAATGGGTTATTATTAATGACATTCGTGAATGGGAAATACATATACATACTTGTATATTTCTACACATAATTGTGCATTTGACAGGAGAATTCTGAAACAGAAACCTTTTTCGGAAAGCGTTTTCAAGTCTGGGAATAATTACAATTAGTTTAAATTTTGCATTTCTAATGAGCTTTCACGCGTTCTGATTGGCTAGTTGACTAGTAAATCTGACGCATTATTCACCAGCTGACTAGTAAATAATGCTTTTCAAAAAGAATGATTCGGCAAATTTGGCTTCAAATGGACGAAATATTTTAAAAAATCGTCCCTAGAAAACGAAAAAAGAACAAAATGTTGTATTTAATTAAATTAACATGAAAGGTAGGATTCTTCATCATTTTAAATTGTCAAACACATTCACGGACAATTTAAAACTTATTTAAAACTCAGAAACAGTCATTTCAAACAAATAGCAAAAACTATCCCGACTGTTGGGAAAAGCCCTGATAATCCTTTTTAATTTAATTAAAACAGTTTTGTATCCTATACTACTATAGATATCTCAATTTATGCGATACTATTTCTTTTGATATGTCGTTTTTTCATTGTGCTGTATGGTGTCCTGACGTTGTATATACTATTGTGTTTTCGAAACTTGTAAAGTAAAAAGTTGTATTAAAACTTTTATATTTCGAACGATGTAGTTTTACATTTCATTTTACCAAATTTCTCAGCCTTTTTATGAACAAATTAATGCTAAACAGAAACTATTCTTTAATTCTAAGTCTGGTGAAAAAGTTACTCCGTCATCGTGCTTTATATTCTGAGAAGAAATCGAGAAAAACAACTTTGTAATAAAGCTATAAAATCACACAGGAAACCGTTTTGAAAAAGCGTGCGTGTACAAGAAACACTGCAACACTAAAACAGTAGAGAGTTTGCAACCCCGAACGGCAACGACAACGGCAACGGGGAAAATATATTTGCTTATATTGTTGTATTTGAGCCAAAGTATACGTTACTACACTTAATTTGCCTCTTTAAGTATTCCTGTTTTTCAAACGTACTCTTAGGTAAAAATAGTCCGCAAATTCAAATAAAACACCTCAAATAACATCGAACGAATTAACTGTAGCCGTAGTCATAGATCGTGAAAATGATGCAAATCACGTACTAGTTTTAACAACTACGGCATTGGACAACGCTTACTGAGTACTATTTAAAGCACGCGTAGGATTGTTTTATCACATACTACTTTATGTAAATTAACATGATTTTTTTATCACATATAAAACCACGACACGCTTATGATTTTTCTTTGTGTATTCCTCCTGAATTATTAATGAGTTTTGAAGACCATGTAATTTACATCAGGATATTGATGACCATATTGCCGTTGCCGTTGCCTTTGTATTTGGCAATCTCTCTAGTAACCTTAAACAGGCGGAAAGCGGTTTTATTTCTGAATTTTAATTAAACTGATAGTTGGATAACTTGGATATTTTGTTTTATTCATTAAAAATTTATACTAAAACGATTATTCGCCTCAGGCACAGTGATTACGGTGAATATTCACATCGACTTCGTCTCTGATCTTACCAAATAAGGTCATGAGACCAGAGCAAGTGATGAACCAGGCGGGAATCGTAATCGAAATATAAAAATTAATGCCCAGCATAACGTACGCAAAAGAGCCATATAGACAAGAATAAAGAGTAAATGAATATAGTGTGACAATGAATCTTCAGTGTAAATGAATATAGTGTGAAAATGAGCTACAAATATGAACAAATTACTATTTAGAATGTCAAATTACAAGGTAATAGGAATATGGAGGATGGCGGAGGGGGGAGTTAAAGGAAAGAAGTCAGAGGAGTGAGAGGGGAATGGAGCTACCTTGCTGATTCAAAGTAGGCTTGAGCTTTCAGATAAGAAGACTTTCACGGACGAGAAGTTCATCTGGAGAGGAACAGGATGATGGAATCTTAAAATCATCAAGGGAAGCAGTATGACCTGAGTGGCTTAGATGGCAAAAGATGCTCGTAAGTTGAGGACTGCTGCTCGTCTTACCAGTTAAGGCAGAAATACCCAAGTGTCCAGAGACTCGTGTATGTAGATGGCGGACCGTTTGGCCCACACACGACGCGGAACAGCATCGACACTTAAAAGAATGAACTACACAAGATCTCAAAGCATCGGGTATTTTGTCCTTAAACCTGAAGAAATTGGACAAATGTAGAGTGGGACGAAACACGATGATTCTAATGCTTATATGTGGGGAGGCTACAGAGCAAATGCGTTGAATTTGGGTACGGATTTGGAAAGAGTGTGTTCCGGTATATGGGAGACAAAAGTATACCACTTTCTTTGATGCAAAATGGATTAATTCCTTGAGTTGAAAGATTTTATCAAGAAATTGTCGAACACAACGATCAAAGAGGCGAGTAGGATAACCATTCTGGTTGAGGATTTTTATAAAAAACTCAATCTCAAAAACTCAATCACAAAGTCGTGTTCAATTTCTCAAAGCGCATAATCTCGGACAAAGAGAAGGAAATGCTCGCGAAAGGTCTCTACTTTGCCATTCCACCCAACAAATTAGATCTTTGTGCCTTCCTTTCCCCGTTCGAAATGTTACACAGAAAGTTAAAGGACGAACAAATCTCCTCATCATCGGAATATTATCCAACCCTGGTCAAAACCAAGTTGAAAGATATCGCGCTCTCTGGCCAGCGCAGTTACAGCCGATCTGATTAATTTCTTGTTTTCCAAGACGATTTGAAAACACTCGATGATTTAAAGAATGACAGAAACATCGTTATCGTGAAGCCAGATAAAGGAAATGGAGTTGTCATTCTCGACCGTGGCGAATACAACCAGAAAATGGAAGATATTTTGCGTGACACTACCAAGTTTGAACGCCTTGATGCTGATCCTGTTAAATTAACATTGCAACGTGAAAACCAAATTAAGAACCTTTTAACCTCTTTTAAGAAATCTGAATCGATCACGCAGGCAACGTATAAACAACTCTATCCTACTGGCTCTCGCACTGGTATCTTATACGGACTTCCGAAAATACACGAGAACAGTATTCCACTTTGACCAATTCTATCATGTATTAATAATTATTCTTATAAGTTTGCCAAGTTCTTTGTTCCCATTCTAAGTCCTAGTTGCTCTAGCGCCTTCATGGTTCGTGATTCTTTCTCCTTCGTGCCGGAATTGTTAAGTCTAGACTTTAATTCCGATAATCTTGCCATTGCTAGCTTTGATGTCACGTCCTTGTTTACTAATATCCCGCTGGATGAAACCATAGATATAATTGCTGATCGCTTGTTTTCGAATGCCATCTGTTTTTATGATCTCACTCGCTCTGAATTCAAACAACTTTTGAATTGTGCTGTCAGAAACTGCCATTTCTTGTTCATATCAACAGGTAGACGGTGTAGCAATGGGCTCTCCTCTTGGGCCTCTATTTACTGACATTTTTCGTTTCATGAAAATACTTGGCTTAATAATT